TAGTTTGAGCTCATTTTGTGCCTTTGCCTTTCTAATCTTGCCCCTGCATTCCTGTGCTGTTTGCCTATATTCATCTTTTGTAATCTGTCCTACTTTCCATTTTTTATATGACTCCTTTTTATTTTTAGATCATTCACGATCTCGTGGTTAAGCCAAGGTGCTCTTTTGCCATATTTTCTATCTTTCTGTCACATCGGAATAGCTTGTTTTTGGGCCCTTAACAATGTTCCTTTGAAAAACTGCCAACTCTCCTCAGTTGTTTTTCCTCTCAGTCTCGATTCACATGGGACCTTACCTCTCAGCTCTCTGAGCTTACCAAAATCCGCCTTCCCGAAATCCATTGTCTCTATTTTGCTGTTCTCCCTTCTACCCTTCCTTAGAATTGTGAACTCTATGATTTCATGATCACTTTCACCCAACCTGCCTTCCACTTTCAAATTCTCAACCAGTTCCTCCCTATTTGTTAGGATCAAATCTAGAACAGCTTTCTCCCTGGTAGCTTTTTCAACCTTCTGAAATAAAAAGTTGTCTCCAATGCAGTCCAAGAACTTATTGGATCGTCTGTGCCCCGCAGTGTTATTTTCCCAACATATATCTAGATAGTTGAAGTCCCCCATCACCACCAAATTTTGGGCTTTGGATGATTTTGTTAGTTGTTTAAAAAAAGCCTCATCCACTTTTTCCACCTCGGTAGGTGGCCTGTAGTAGACTCCTAGCATGACATCACCTTTGTTTTTAATCCCTTTTAGCCTAACCCAGAGACTCTCAACATTTCCGTCTCCTATCCCCACCTCCACTTCACTCCAAGTGTGTTCATTTTTAATGTAAAAGGCAACACCTCCTCCCTTTTTTCCCTGTCTATCCTTCCTGAGCAAGCTGTACCCTTCTATACAAACATTCCAGTCGTGTATTATCCCACCAAGTTTCTGTGATGCCAACAATGTCATAATTGTATTTATTTACTAGCACTTCCAGTTCTTCCTGCTTATTTCCCATACTTCTCGCATTTGTATATAGGCATCTATATACAATAACAATTAAGGTGACAGTTTGCTCTAACTATGGCTAGTCCCAATTATAGAGCTACTTTTTCATTATCTTGTTGAGTCCTGACACTGTCTTTGAGCGATCCTCTTTCAAATAAGCTAACAGAAATCAAAATCAATCTAAGCTTTAAACATTTGATTTTGGAATAATTTTAGATAGAAAATTGTTCTAAACCAGGAACATAGGGAATATTATAACATAGTGTTCTCTACATTTTATTTTTGCACTAGTATTTTAGTAAGTAGGGAGAGAGTTAAAAGTTTAAAGATATTTTTCTGTCAATTGTTTCTGTGTATTATTTGTCATCTGAAGGAGTGGGCTGTGCCCATGATACTATCTCTATATATTTTTGGTTAGTCTCTAAGGTGCTACATTGTTGTTTTTAAGTTTTGGTTTTTTTTAATTGCATTTGTATCTACAGGCCTCAGTCAAGATCAGAAAGCCAATGAGGTTGGTACTGACAACCATGTGAGGAAAAGATGGACCCCACCGTACAGCACTTATAATCAAGTGTATGATGGAAAGCAACAAAAGAATACAAACAAACAGGTGTGAGAAGTACAACCAAGGCAACAACGGGGAATTACGCATAGCCTACTGGTGTATAGGAGCATGATAATGTACTACAGATATGTCTATTATATATAGAATAGAAGGTATTTCTATTTTACAATTCAGCTTATACATTTTAATAAAATATTTGTTATAGTCCTACCTCATCAAAATACTAACAAAGAAAAAAACC